TATAAGGAACGTCGAAAATGGAGCTCGTATGAAGAAGTTACACCATTTTGAAAATCTAAAAATTTGTGCGCGTGCGGCGCCCGACGCGCACTGATGACGTGGCAAGGCTAGAGAGTGCCATGTGGCAAGTTGGCCCTTCCTTTCCTCCAATAGACGTGATGATGTGGCATGATACAGGCGTAACATGTGGCTCCATAGGATCGCGACACGTGGCATGTTCTAGAAGGCGGAGAGGTGGACCAAAGGAAATTCGACATGTGACAGGAAGCTGGAGGAGCCAACAAGGCCGATGTGCGCGGCGCGCCCTCCTTTATTCTCTATATATAGCTGCGAAAATCACTCATTTTCTCTCACAATTCTTCCCAAACACTCTCTATCCTTTCTTCTGTTCCTAAGTCCGAATTTTGTAGTTTCCTAGAGTATTTTAACAAGGTTTTGAGGAGTCTAGGGGTACGACAAATAGAAGGTTTCAGTTTCTGAGTTCAGTCCACGTAGTTTCCCGGTTTTCGCTAAAATCTCTGTAAGTTAAGCTACACTATTTTGTTTTGAGTGTAACTTATATTTATAGTCACAAGTCGTTATTATGAACCTATAAATAAGATTTATCAGTGATTCCAAGTCATTATACTGATTGATCTACTTACGGGGATGATGTCTAGGCTGTATTTAGTGAGGTGTTTAAAGTGGGATTTCCAAACAATATACTCTGTATACCAAGCGGACCCTGTCTCTGATATGATCCTACCTGGTTATTCCTTATCAGCTATAGATCAGTAGACAATGAGATTATTGCAAAATCTAGACTATAACTAGTAGAGTCGCCAAGATCATAAAAACTACTCTAAGACTTAGCATTATGTACATTTAGGTCCTTTAGAAAAGTATTAAGGCAAAGCACTGCCCTAACCTCGAGTCATCTACTGTCATCAAGTGAGTGCATAGTTACTTTCAAATTTACACACATATACAAGTATTCTAATGGCTTAAATGTTATGTGCGCTTATTTTGCCGTGTTTAACATATTTGTACAATATGATATGATTGTTACTTGATCTAATCATATACTTAATAACATAATTAGGTAGTAAAGGGTTGTGCGTAATAATAAATGAGAGGTTGTGCTAGGGCCGTGTAAGTTAGTGGTTGTGACAGGTTAAGTGAGAGTTGTGCAAATTAGTAAGTCGTGACCTGTCGTGCTTATCCAAAGTATTATTATGTCGTGCCTATCCAAGTACTTTTGTACTGTCGTGCCTATCCAAGTACTCTAATGTTTGAAAAATATATTTTTACTTTGTTGGTTTTGGAATATATGGTTGTATGACCTGATGGTTTAACAATGAAAATGTTTACTACTATTTTTGGGACGTTACAAGTTGGTATCAGAGTCTTGGTTTGAGGGATTTAGGCACACTCTCGGGTATGTACGAACTCAAACTGAGGAATTGGTAATCTTTTTGAAAGAAAATAAAATTTTCCAAAAAAAGACTTTTACAAAGAAAGGGGTGTGATGCGTGCAATCAACCGAGCTCAAGTAAGTGATTCCCAGAATACCCATATATGTTGTTATGTTATATGTTTTGCATGTTAGAAGTTAGCATAAGGATATGTTAAGGGTTGCATTCAAGAATGCCTATTAAGAGAGATGTTTATTAGGTAGGATGCATGTTGATGTTTTGTGGCCTGTAAACAACTTATAAATTGGCCCTATTGCGCAGCTCTTGTCTGAGTCCAACCGTTGTAGGGTTGAGTCGTTTAGGTCGAAGGATTATTTAAGCTTTGTTGCATATAATTGTATTCATGAAGTAGTTAACTGACATTAGTAGGAGTTTTTCAACAACTGATGGCATGGTGAGGTGGAGAGTCCTAAGATAGCCTAGGAAGTGTTTTGGTGTGAGTGGTGCGTTGTTTAGCGGGTATGAGGAGTATCAATATGAGAATGTGACTTAGAGGATTCAGGATGATTCTTAAGGAAAGTAAGGATATGTGTGGAATGTAGTATTAGGTTCGTACTACTAAAAGCACAAGATCCGTACTCGAAATAAGGAAAGTCGCGAGGATTTTAAGAAGCATATAGAATTCGGATTCTTTGGGTATGTTCTGATCATTGTATGGTTATTTTTTTTAGTATGGTGATGAGCACTCGTGGAGAAGGTTTTGGTTTTGGTTCAGGTTCAGGCTCTGGTGCTGAGCTGATTGATGAGAGGATTCGTGAGTTCGTTTCGTCTGAGATCACTCGCGATATTTTGGATGCAACTCCTATGATGCTTGGTACCATCAAGGAGGGGATCATGGAGTTGTTGGCTGAGCGGGATGGGGCTTTCCATGGTGAGATTGTGATGAAACCTTTTTGTTGGTTGCTAAACTAGTTACTATTAAATGTTTAATTTTATTGGATTAATTTTGGTTTAACTTATATCATTTAGATGTTAATAATAGTTTCTTATATGGAACTTTCGATGAATTTGTATATATGTCCTTGCCTTTAGGATATTTTTCAAAAATAAAACCATAATTTATAAGTTGTTAAACTTATTATGTGGTCTTAAACAAGCCCTATAAATATGGAATGAGAAATTAACCTATTTTTTAATTGATTATGATTTTCAACATAACAGAACAATTATTCTTTATATACTTTGCTAAAAGTTGATTCTTTTATAGATTATATAATCTTGAGTGGTAATTAATTCCTTATAAGAAATAAAAAGTTAAAGATTTTCTGAATACAAAACTTCTGCTTGAGGATTTATAGTTGTGTTAAAGATTTTGTCTTGCTATTAAAATAATTAATATTCCAAGTGGTATTTGTTGTGTGCGATAAAGTATACTATTAAGTCGCTATATGAATATGAGCTGTTAAGATGTAAAAATGTTGATACACCTTTAGATGTGTCTATCATTGTTACTAGAGAACACATAGACTCTAATTTTGTTAAGAGCGATTCAACCTTATATTTTGCTAAATTAGGGGTTTAGGGTCCCCGATTCTAAAAGACTTCATATTCTCCAAACTTAACCCAATATTAATATAACTAAAATTTTAATTAGTCAATTACTAATTGTCGGATATGTCACATCACAGTGAGCGATCTTGATTCTTGAAGACGAAACACATGCGATACATCAGTGTGATCTTGAAAACTGAAACACCGCATTATCTTCAATTCTTCTATCTCGACTCTCAATTGCTCAAATCCTCAATGTTAAACGATATGTGTTTCACTTCTTTTCGGTTTTTTTATTATCTATTAGGGTTAATTATTTTCATTTATCCATTGATTACAGTATAAAAAATTTTAATTGTCAAGTACTGAATACTTCTTTGTGGAGTTTTTCCTTTGGAAATTCTGAATTTAGGTTAAAACAAACTCAAGGAAGAAGTCATCAAGTCAAGGCTATCAAACAAACATGTATTTCTATTACTCAATTACTTTCAGTATTCTGATTTGTTCATTTATAGTTGTCTTGGTTATTCACAAAAAACATATACATAATAAAAAAAATTAACTCTTCAATTAATGAATTTTTTTTGTTTATTAAAGAGTCTCATATTTTTGGTTCGCTTAAAGTCCCAAACTGGTTGAGCCGCCCCAGAATTTTGTATAATTAATATGTTATATATACTTGTTATCAAAAAACTCACGAGGAAACTTATGGACGTACCTAAAACTCAGCTTGATATTTTATTTGCAATACAAACATTGAGTCACTTTATGCATTCTTCAAGAAAATTACATTTGAACTTAGTTATAAGAATTCTAAAATACTTAAAAGGCAAATTCGGATAAAGGAAGCGCATTGAATAGATCTTTAAATTCTAAGTCAGTTTGTTCATGTAGATGCTGACTTGTGAAAATGTACTAGTTAATTATAGGAGATCCATAACTCGATTGCCTTTTCTTTGGAAAGTCTATAATTTTATTGGAAGTTTAATAAAAACAACAAACTCTTTCCAAATCCTCAACTGATTTCAGTATAAAGCCTTTACTTGATTGTGAATTTGTATGGGTTATTAATATGTTAAAAGATTGGAATACAAAGTTTGATTTACCAATTGTAATATTGTGTATTTTGTTAGAGAAAATGTTTGAGATTGAGGAAAAAAATGGTTAAAACTTCTTCTAAAGAACAAATGGTAGATATGTTTATAAAATCTTTAAACGGAGTTCAACACAGTTGTTTGTGTAAAAAATTGTTATTAACATATCCTTTTTAAAGTTATGATTGATAGATGGTATTAAAAGATATTAATATCCCTCAATCTTAACTTTTGAAAATAATAGAGACAAGTTTCAACTTTTGTGCTTTGTTATTGTTTTATGCAAGGGTCTAATATGAAATGTTGATTAAAGTTGAGGAATATTAGATGGCTAGAATAGACAGAAGATGGTACCAGTGTGATGACGAATGAGGATATGTAGCTAAAAGAAAGTGCAAGGACTAAATGCAAACTACTGGGAGTACTATATATTAAAGACATAGAGACGATGAGGGTTAATTCATTCACTTCTTCATCTCTCTTCGTTTCTCTCACACACTCTCTCGTTCTCTTGACACGCAGAAAAAATTAGGGTTTATAAGCTATGGGTTTAATCTCAATTCAATGGACGTGTTAATCTTTCAATTAGTTTAGTTCTGTGTCCGTTGTAGTGTATTTTAGAGATGTTATTAGATTTGTTGTTTGTAAAAGTTTGAAGAATTAGAAGAGTTTTTCCATTGATAGTTCTTTGATGAGTTTTACAGAAACTGGTTTTGTTAAACTTAAGACAATTATAAACATATTTGAAACTAATTTTACTTTTCCTACAAGTGTAAACAGGTTATGGAAGAAGTGTTTTATTTCGAAATGATGTATTTTACAATGCAAATTTTGCATATAACGAATCCTCTGGTCTGGCTAAAAAAAAGGTTTAAGCCATAAACGGAAAAACACAATCAACCTGGCTACATAGTACATATCTTAATTAAGAAAAAGGATATGTAAAGCACTCAATGGAACTCTAAAAACTCCATAAAGACCCGTAATCACAAAAGTCCATGTTATCTCCGTAGTTGCCATACCCCACCATCGGAGGAGGTGGTACCATCAGTCCCTCGGCCATGCTGGCATAAAATCCGGAACTCTCAAAAATCTCCTCTTCATCCACGTAAGACTGAACTTCCGGCAACTCATTTGTTTCCACATTCTCCACTGCATCCTCCGTGTCCATGTATCTAAAAGCCTCCGCCGCTTCTGCAGCCGCCTTTTGTATATCCTCTATTTTGTTAGACTGCGGGACAGGCAGCCGCCACACAGAGTCAGCAAAGTTCAAACACGCCGATCGCCCCCTGAAGGCCAAAGCAGCCACGTCATGTGCCCTGGCTGCCATTACAGCAGTGGGATGCGTCCCTAACCACACCCTGAACTGCGTGTTGGGCTCTCTCACCTCACAAACCCACTTACCGTTATCCCGCATTCTCACTCCTCGGTAAACCGGGTGTCGAGTCTCTCGAAACTTTTTCCTTCCAGCTCTCTTCTTCGGGGTTTGTGAAGCCAGCTTTACTTCTGTGTCAGCGACCGCATCCCCACCGGTGCTTCTGGTGTCGTTTGAGTTCGAAGAGGATCCCAGCGGAGGATTTTCAGATGAGTGTGCTAGAAAGGAGTTTTGGTAGTCAATGAAGGCATCCATACGTAGCTTGTGCTTGTAGTGTTTGGAAGTAAGGAGTGACAGTTATGGTCTGTTGGTAGTTATTTCAAGTTATCAGTGAAGTTGTGGATTGTTGGTAGCGTTTCCTAAAAAAATGAGCGACTTTAAGTGAGTGATTCGCAAATGGCGATGTATATATACCCATCTGGGGCGTGTGCGGGTGGATTAGTCAGTTGGAGAAACAGCTGGGGGGCTATGTCCTTTGTGAATGGTTGGATAAAACGCGTGATATTTGGTATATTACAAATTTGGTCCCTATAGTAATCCAAGATAGAGGGATTTGGTCGAATATATTCATTTATTGTAACTGAAGTAGAATAAATCATTTCCAATTTTATACGCGTCACATATTTTCCCTTCAAAATGAAAATTTGGTTAGGTGTATAGTGGGATGAGTATGTCATAAATTAGAGATAGAGTATGTCATGGTATTGGTGATCACAAACTATAGCGTGTTAAAAAGTTTTATCTTTAATTCGTTTTCATCTTATTGGATAACATTGTAAAAAAATGTTAATCGGATTATTTACATGTATACCCATAGGTATCGAGTATTTCATTAAGAGAAATTAAATATCCTCCTACTTTTTGTTCCTACAAATCCTCCTATCCAATTAAATAGTGACATGTGTAACATTTAATGTTCATTTAATGATATTTTTGTAAACTAATATGACATATGTCATCATTTAATTGGGTATGAGGATTTGTAGAAAGAAAAGTAGAAGGATATTTAATTTCTCTTTCATTTAAGATTTTAATAAGTTAAAATTTACTTGTTGAAAATTTCATTACCTAAATCTCAATTACAATCACATGCAAACAAAATTTATAACATATCTAATCAATATCTTAACTTAAATATTAGAAATTACATCAATACTTTTCATTCTTAAAATAATTAGTAGTAAATACATATTGAAACGTTCATAGGTATCGAGTATCTCATTTAAAATTTTAATAGGTTAAAATTTACTTGTTGAAATTTTCATTACCTAAATCTCAATTACAATCACATCCAAACAAAACAACTTAATTTTTCATAATTCTAATTTCTATATAACAACATCAACAAGTTTAATTTCTGATAAATGAAACATTAGTATGGTTATCATTATACAAAATTTATAACATGCAAATCTCATGATAAACTAATCAATATCTTCAACTTAAATATTTGAAATTACATCAATACTTTTTATTCTCAAAAGTAATTAGTAGTAAATACATATTGAAACGTTCATAGGTATCGAGTACCTCATTTAACATTTTAATAGATTAAAATTTGCTTGTTGAAATTTTCATTACCTAAATCTCACAATCACATCCAAACAAAACAACTTAATTTTTCATAAATTGAATTTTAAACAACATCAACAAGCTTAATTTATGATAAATGAACCATTAGTATGATTATCATTATACAAAATTTATAACATGCAAATCTCACGATAAACTAATCAATATCTTAACTTAAATATTAGAAATTACATCAATACTTTTCATTCTTAAAAGTAATTAGCAGTAAATACATATTGAAACGTTCTTTTTTATAATATCATATAATATTATATATAAAAATCATATATAATATTATAATATAATTTAAAATCATATATTTTAATAATGAAAGTATAAATATTCAAAAAATAAAAAAGTTTCGGAAATGGTTAATTAGGATTGGATAATTGAGAGTATAACCCTAATATACCATAATCATTCTTAACTTGCAAACGTTATTAGAAAACATCGTATACCATGTCCAATAATCATTTAACCGGCCAAAAACATATCACAAAAGTTTCGAGTTCAACTTTTAGTGTTGGATTCGAGTATTTCCGTCCTTTCTAATTGTGATGTACATCAGATAAATCTTTACATTAGTGATACATATCAGATTAAGCTTTGAAGTTTCTTTATATCGAATAAAGTTTTATTGTTTCAGTTATATCAAATGCAACTTTAAACTTTTAAATGAATATCTAACAACGTTTCAAACTAGGGGTGAGCATTTGGACCGAACCGGACCGGACCGGTTATGGAGAATATTGTGGACCATGGACCGGACCGGATGAGTCGTGTCCGTGTCTGTGTCCGGGTCCGGGTCCAGGCCCGGGTTTTCCGGTTCTTGGACCCGTTTGGACGGGTACAAATTTAATTGCATAGAGTACAAGTCGTTAAAATAAGTTTTTAGGTTTGATACGATACAACTTGTAAAAATGATTATGTTTCCGTTTCATGCATAACTAATCTACCTTGATGTTATAATATTATAAGTTGCAAAATTAATTTTCCAAATAAAATCAACTAACATATAAATCAAGTTCACCAAGATCCCTTTCATATGATTTATCTATCAAAGATACATAAAATTCAGAATTATAGTATAAAATGATAGTTAAAAAGTTGAAATATTTTAGCTTTGATAGCTCAACTTTGAAGGATTGTAACTCATTGAATATAATACAAAAATCAACAAAATTATAGTCTAAATTTATCTACAAACTGTAAACTAAATGTTGGAAAAAACCTCAGGTCAATCCGACTTAAAACGATTGAGTTATGGTTGTTTAAAAAATTTCACAGATTACAAAATTTAAAAAAACTTGCTGAAAAGCTGAAAATTTTCAGCTTTGATAGCTCAACTTTGAAAGACTATAACTCATTGAATATATAATATCAAAATCAACAAAATTATAGTCTAAATTCATCTACAAACTGTAAATTAAACGTTGGAAAAAACCGCGTGTCAATCCGACTTAAAATGAATGAGTTATGGTTGTTTAAAAATTTTCACAGATTACAAAATTTTAAAAAATGTTGCTGAAAAGCTGAAATTTTCAGCTTGATAGCTCACTTTGAAAGTTTGTAATCATTGAATACTATACCAAAATAAACAAAACTATAGTCTAAATTCATCTACAAACTGTAAGTTAAACGTTGGAAAAACCGCGTGTCAATCTGATTTAAAACGAATGAGTTATGGTTGTTTAAAAATTTTCACAGATTACAATTTTTTTTAAAAAAATCGGGTCCAACCGGTTCTAAACCCGGTAAAAACCGGACCGGACCGGGATGGATTCCTAGAACCGAGAACTGGCCCGGGGGTCCAAAAAAACGGTCCGGTCCAGTCCGGTCCACCGGTCCAAATGCTCACCCCTATTTCAAACTATCTAATGCATATTGAGCCGAACTTTAAACTCTCTCTATCTCATTCTTAATATATATATATATATATATATATATATATATATATATATATATATATATATATAATATAGTTAGGTTCATTTATTCTAACTATCTATTGTGTGGATGTAGGAATCAATATAGGTCAATCATTTCAAAAACCTAAATAAGGGTTAAGTGGTAATTTTAGCCATTAATTAATTTTTAGTAATTACTTATTAAATAATTAATACCTTTAATGTAGGCAAATTAATGGAAATTCGTTTAAATATTTTATTATCACTTAAACCGTAGACTATTTGTACGCTTTCTCCATCTCTTTCTCTAAAATTGTCGGCCGACGATCACCCACCAATTCCTTTGAACAGACACCACCACCCATGACGCCGTCGTTAACCTCTGCCACACCTATGGCCCGCCTTATCTGTCTTCCCGATCGATCATCAGAATCATCATCGACGTCATCTTTTGGGTGTTTATCAGCCTCTCTAGTGGAATCAACGCTCCTACACACTAGTGGTCTTCTATCAGTTTGTTCTTGAACTGGCGTGAATGGAATGGGTCTCGATTTTAAGACCTACGACTTGATTTCAAGCTGAAGAATCCAGACCTGCAACTCGATCTTGTTCATCGATTTTAGGAAGAATATTCAATTGATCGGTTTCAAGAATAAGCTAAGACCTCTTATTTTTTTAATTTTTGTGTTGTGGCAATGGAGAAGCTTTGGTTCTTGTTATGGATTCTAAATATGCTTAGTTGTAAACTTCAAAATTGAAAAAAAAGGGTTCTTATGTTGTATAAAATTGTTAAACTTTTTGGATTTGTGAATAAACACTGACACAATTAATCCAAACCCGTTTATTATTATATTTTTCATATTTTTGCATGATCTATGTTCATTTTTATCGAGTCTTCAGAAAATTTCTTTTGTACATTATGACAAACACCTGATATGTGTTTAAATTACAATTGATATGGTTCAAATGCATTAGAGTACCTATTATATTTAATAATAAATGATTATCTGATTAATCACTTAGTCGAGATATCTGTGGAATCATACGGCTCCGCCTTCTCCTTTAAAATCATGTACTAAATTATCAATCCAGTTATAAATTATAGTGAATATGTTTTTTTAAGGTTTTTCAATTGTCAATATTGTAATGGTGTTTGGGTTCTTGTAGTTAGATTCTCTTTTCTTCAGAGGATTTCATGTCTCCTCTACATGTATGTGTGTTTGTGCTTTAGTCTTGCAATTATTGTAATATTGATGCAGGTATTGAGGAGTAATCTTTTTGTCGAGAAATTCTATAAAAGTGTTCATCATTCGTTCGTCGATTACTTCTCTCCGGGATGTGAATAGAACTTCATGGTGGCCATATGTTTCACATGTATCTTCTTTATTTTAATTCTAATATCTTGGCTTCAAATTTTGTTTCTCTAATTGTACTGTCTTGATTCTTAACTTTAAGTTATTTTAACTTATGAAACAAACTTTATCTACTTAATTCATCTATATCATAGTCAGATCAACTTGATTTGTTACAAGCTCAAATATTTCCTTCCAAATTGTTCTTCTTCTACGAGGTAGAAACAAAAAGTGGAGGAGAAACTTTTATAACTCTAAGTCATGTCATATACGAGAAGATGAAACAAAAACACCTAAATTCGTTCAAGAAATGGAAAAAAAGGGTTGATTTACACACGGCTTCTAGGAGAAGAGTCTGATCCATCATCACCATTTGGTGAGTTCATCTTCTTCATGGTAATAGTGACTCCTGAGACCGGGTTTC